GCAAAGTGCACACTTAACGCACCCTCCTCCACTATTCCGACTGACAGGGGTGCGTTAAGTGTGCAAAGTGCACACTTAACGCACCCTCCCCCACTATTCCGACTGACAGGGGTGCGTTAAGTGTGCACTTTGCACACTTAACGCACCCTCCCCCCAGTCACTCACTCTACCTAGTTATTTTCGAGCAATGGTGTGCATTCCCAAGAACCCAAGAAAGAGAGCAGCTAGTAGAAGACCGTAGCGACATTTGGACCCAAATGGTTGTAATGACTTAGTTTCCTAGAAGTCAGTTCCCTGGTCCAGCTTCCTCTTTTTTCTCTCAGAGACCGAAGGAGCGGGACTCGGCCTGGTGACCTACATCGCAGAAGGAAGGAGAGGATAGGAATGGGAAGGAGGTTGGTTGGAAGGGACTCATGAAAAAAGTAAAGAGAGGGGGCAGCGGTTCGAATACGGTAACCACTCGAAAAACAGATATAAGCACTAATGCATACCCTAGCGTTTTGACCTTTATGCGTAGTACGTGTATGAGCGCTAAGGCATTGTACTTCATTGGCCAATTTGAGACCTAATTGCCAAGATAGGGAGCATTGGGGGCTGTGCTCCTGAGGGCACTTTATGGTAAGATACACGTTGCGCCCGAATCCCGGCTCTAACAAGTGTCTATGCTTAAGAAGATGACCAGCAATTTGGAGCAAATTGATGCAGAACTCAATGCAATCTTCATTCAACTTTCTCATACCCTCTATAAAATCAAGACCAACTTGTCCGTTGAAGAACGCAAACATTATTTTGATCAAATTTCAAACTCCAATAAATATGTTTGTGACTGGCTGTTGGATCTGGTGCACAGCAAGGTCGCAGCAGATGCTTCGGCTCGGGCCAAGTACAACAACGGTAGCGATGACTCCCAGCCTTCGGACGACTTTTCAAGCCCATACAATACCGCTACCAATGCGTCAATTGATTCGCCTAAAAACACAGCTGAACTGGGTGAAGAACAGGCCCTATCGCCAGTGATTTTGTCCAACGCCAACGCTCAGGCTGAGAGCAGCAACAGTAGCTTTCAGAGCCCATACACTGCCGCCACTAACGCGTCGATTGATTCGCCTG